AACAGGGTAACGATTTTTATATCAAAAGGTTGTATTTTATTTCTACCTTTTCTTTCAAGATATTCAAAGGTGGCAAATACTTCAAATAGAGAAGGATGGTGTAGAGGTAAGTATCAGGAAACAATAGAAACAAATGGGTATAGAAATAACATAAAATGAACATAATACACAGTCAGCTTGGGCTACTCCACTTTGAAACCAAATATTTCACCAAATGCAATAAATGATGATTCATCAAAATATGCTTTATTTAATTCAGCCACTGTCATTTGATTGAAAACATTTATTTTATTTGATTGTGTAATGGAAAAGATCTAAGATTAACATACTGTACATACTTTTATTTTCAGGGCTACTGCAGCACCCTCAATTAACAGCTGATGTGATAACAGTTCACTAGCAGGGAGCAGCAACATGAGATTGGACCGTTTGGCTGTTTACACCTTACAGTGTGACTAACACAGTGGATTTGATCAGGTTTACTGTAAGGTTATGAAATGTTGAGAAAATGTATTATTTTCATTCATTAACTTAATAAAAGTACTAACATATGTTTAATTTTAACATAGATTTTGTATTTAAATATTTGTTCCTTCAAATTTTTTTTAAAAAAATATTTGTATGCCCCGTATTATGTTCATTTCTTATTATTTGAATTTTCTATGCTGCACATGTTCTTTGGTTTATGGCCACTGTAGTATAAACGTTTAATCTTTTTTTAAATCTCACCCCAATCCTTTAAGTAAGGAAAAATGCAAACTATAGCTATTATAGACTTTGCAATAGCATCTTTAAACAGTTTTTTTAGCTAACAGTCAACATCTGTTTTTTTAGTGCTAAAGTAGAAGATGTAATAAAGAAATGATATATAAACCCTGGCAGATGCTAAACTAACAGGGTGGCATGACCGCTACAACAAGACTGTTGGCAGACAGACCTTCAAAGCAACAAAGATAAAAAACACAATAATTTATGGATCCATGTTCACCTAAGTAATTTGTAATTGAATCTGAGAAAGTCTTTTTTTCCCTAAACAAGTCAGTTTACAATCCAGAGCTGTGCTGTAATATTTCAGATGCAGTCCAACTGATTGATGATTCTACAGTCAATTCAAAACATTTTGGATGGAAACATCCCTCAAATCAAGCCTTGAAAAATAATAAAATCAAAAGTTTATCCTCTTAATTTTCTGGAACTAAAAAAAACAAATTTAAAACAATAACTAATTTTCTATTGAAATAAAATTGAAATGTAAAGGACCGGCCCTTAAATTAATGAATATACCACAATTTACATAAACCTATAGACTATAGCACTGCTAAACAATTCAAATGTAAAAGTATATGAATTTGTCTGTAAAACTATCTTAATGAATCTGTAACAGTCATTTTTGTTAGTGATGGGCTATTAATAAAACCACGTGCAGGTCTCGAGATGCGGTCTGAAAGCTAAGGAATCCAAGACAGGAGATAGAACTAGGAGGTAGTCAGAACGTAGTCGGGCAAACAAATCCGAGAGGGGCGAGACGAGCGAGGTCGCGAGGAATCTAAAACCACAGAGTTGTAGGTGAGGGGATCCAGACGTAGAGAGGGTGTCAGGAAAGGAGGACAGGGCGGGGCGGGTTTGAGGCTCAGGAGGCAGATGAAGTCCTAATACCGAGCACCGGTAGCAGTGAGCAGAGGGTTTAAATAGTTGCGGGGAAAAGCTGTGGCGTGAAGATTGAATCATTTCGAGTTAATTGGTGCCAGGTGTGCTTGTTACATTTTTTTCCAAATTAAAATATTTAATGATTGTTTTTATTTATGATTCAAAATTCACTGCAAAATTCACTGAGATGCATGCACTATTGTTCCGGTTCTATGAACAGTTGCTGCAATACAAAAAAAAATAGCAACATAAAAAAACTGAAGAAGGCTCCACAGACAAAACATTGTGTTTATTTTCTTCTCTTTTGAGCATGGAATAAACCTTTACTTGCTCCTTTGCGGTTTAAGCATGCTGATGCAACTACAGTACCTACTCGAACTTCTTCAACATAAAAAAAACTTACCTTGTGAACTTACAGAATTCAGATGTTAAGTCAAACTGTAATTAATGTGACAACATGAATATAAAGGGATAGTGTACTTTATTTTTACACTTTAAGTTAATTAGTCTGGCTGAGGAGATGACAGCCCTGGTCATCAAGTCAAAACCCTCTCACTGAGAGGAATGAGCCAGGGAGGCTGCAGCAAGGGTGAAATTGTGGGGAATGTACACACATCGGGTTAACCAGGCAAAATATTGATATGTGGAAGTGCAGGATTATAAGTAAAGCTCCTTCGAAATTTTTGTTTAGCAGTACATTAATACTTTGCTCATAATCTTCTGTGAATAGTTCATACAGGAAGCAGTACTCTTCAGCAGGATATTAATTCCAAGTTAATAACGGACTGAATCCGGGATATGTCTGTAGTCAGTGCTGTGTACGGTCCTACCATGCTTTGATTCCTCTCTGTACTGGGCAACCACACAATCACCTCAAAGTTGTAGAAAAGCTTATTTTGTTAGAGGAAGGCATCTTTTGTGGCTTTGGAAACTGTACTGAAAGGACTTACCTTTTTTATGATTAGCAGTGTGTCATTTTGGAGATGGTTTGAAATAAACATTTAGCGCAGAGCATCATGAAAGATTCTGGACTGCATTCAGTATAGTTTATATTTGATTTTCATTTTGCATCAGATTTCCCTCTTAAGCTCGATCAAATTATATTAGGTCTCTAAAACATCTATCTGTGTTCACAAACATATTACAGTTTGTACAGTTTTTATTTACATGATACTGATAAAAAATAACTATCGAAGACATTCCATCTTCTTTATGAAGTGTATGTTTCTTTTGTAAATAAAAAATAATAATTTAAGATTAAAACAGGGTTTTTTATTTTTTTACTAAGATAGTTTTCTTTATATACATGAAATGAAAATTTACTAAAAATACTGTGCAATTTAGGAGGCAAGTACAGCTTATTCTTTGTACTGTATCTGGTACTAAATGACTTACATCCTTGAAATGGCAATATGTGTGTCTTGGACAAGGACATCGCCTGTGCTCTGTACAGTCCTACTGTTAACTGTTGTCAGTATTTAAAATGGGATACTATTAAGATGCACTTTCATTGTGGAACTGACATCTAAATCAAATCCCAGCTCAAGAGACACTGCCAGCACAATTCCTCTGGAGCTATCAGTCTTTCATGAGAGTGATTCAGGATTTCATTCAACCAGATGACCATCAATGCAGGAGCAGGTGGATCACGTGTGGGGAAAAAAGGACAGATCAACCTTCCAGCAGACAAGTGCTGCTTATCTCCACCACACTCACAGGCAGAAGACTGTCACTCAAGGAGTGCTGTCATGTAAATTGCATACAGGTGATGGATATTTTAACTCCCATATGTGCAAGTAAAGGCGGCACTGTGGAGCAGCAGTTAGCATTGGTGCCTCACAACTCTGGGTCCTTTGTTCATTTCAGG